TGTTTTTTTGTTTTCCACTGGATGCACAGAATTTCAGATGCTCCTTTAGTGTCGGGCTGGTCACAGTAGCATCACTCAGTCTAACCCTTCACAATCAGCTTTTATTTTTATTACCCCACAACCTTTGTCACCTTGTCATTCAGCTTCCTGTCAACTCACCGATTCTAAATAGCAGAGGCCTCCCCAGTACCTGGTGCAAACACACACACATGCTATCCCTCTGCAGCGCAGTCTTGGCTCAGTAGAGCAGGAGTAGGAAAAGCAGAGCAGTAACAGCTTCCCTACAAAGCTGGGTTTGCTTCGGGGCAGTGTAATGCCAGGAACCATGATCCTATTAACTGTATCCAAAAAGGCACATGTACTGCCAAGTGCTAGTACCAGAAGAAAGCCTTTAGTAAGCCTTAAACCTCGGACTACCAGCTGTTCCAGCCCTACCTACCGTAAGAGAAAAGTAACATAAAAGTTTCACAGTTCTCATACTGTGTTACTTGCTGCAAACTTTCAAGTGAGGCTCTGCCCCACAAAATGTCTGTATTTGACACTGCAGATACAGTGAAGTCATGAAAAAAATTCATCTCAGATTTGCAGCATCCCTGCAGTGATAGGAACCATTCCTGTTACAGCAAGTACTAAGATATGCAGTTTTGCAGAAGACAGTAGGAAATACAAATCTAAGTGACCCAGCTTGCATCTTGAGGCTGCTTACCTTGGTTATACTGACCTTCCTTGTTAACTGTGTGCCAGGCCATCCCCCTGCCCAGTCCTTATGTGCTCTGAACATGGGAATGCTCCTCTGCTTGGAGCAAATGGTCAGTAACAACGGTTGATAACTTGGGAGGCTTGATTTTATGGATAAAGCAGATCTATTTGCTCTAGATAGGGCAGCCAGGCACCAGCTAAAATCAAAGCTACTGCTGTTCAAATGTGCCTCTTGACTTTGCCACCTTCACTGCTTAGGAAGAAAAACACTCCTAACAGTTGCCAAACCTGGGCGAGCACTAGGGGAATACCAGACACTGCTGCCATTTAAAGCAAGAGAGCTAATCCGTATTTGAGGATGGCTGTTTTAGAGCATAGCCATTAAGGAGAAAACACACTGAGCCTTGGCCTGGAGAGTCTTTCAGCACTGATACACAGTAGCTCTAATACACAGGCAGGTCTGATGGCAAAGCACAGAGAACCTAAAGAGCTTCTGTGTTCCCCCTGCCACTAATTAGGCTATCAGATGTCTGACTTACAAAGAAAATGTTCTCCCTAGCTGCAATATAGATACTTTAATTACAAATTGGCTATAAAATAGACACCTCAGCAAACCCTTGCCCTGAACTTCAATTTGTTCCTTAATTTGTTCATTAATGTGAGAGCCAAAGGCAAACAGCATCCTTAAAGCCTTCACAGGGGCTGTTGCATTTGTACTACCCATATGTCTAAAACATAATACAAGGATACCATTTCCAAGACAAAAAGTGCAACAACAAAAAACCTGCAGTTAATACAGACACCTTGTTTGAATTTCACCAGGCAAAGAATCAGGTTAAAGGAACTCAGACTGTGACAACCTGCATTCCATCTAAACCAGTATTCACATCGTGAACACAGTGAATGCTGCACTCGCATTGAAACACCCAACATCATTAAGGGAAAAAATTCCACATCACTCAGGTATGGAAAAGCTTCATATTGCAACTATAACCTTTATTATTATTACTGAGGTACAGATTATGTTCCCAAACCTGAGAGTGGCTAGAGACACTGACAAGTCTAAAGCATCACAATGCTGACCTTACATGCTGACAATTTTCCACATGAAGACCATTTATTTCTTGATCAAAACATCAAGTTTTAAAACCGTTAAAAGTACAGCTGAAAAGATGGGCTGAACCAAGGTTTTCTGACTTGCAGTCCCCAAGTTGGAAAGATGATCCTGTAAGAAAACGCGTTGCAATAATTCAAGACCGCTTTGTGTTCATCACAGCACTAAAAAAAGGTGATGGCAACGCCTTTTAGATTGTAAGTCATTTGACAATATACACTTTATTCTGATACAAAATTGAAATATTTTAAACAAATTTCAATCCATTATGGACTATACTGAAATTTTTAATTTCCATGCTATTTTAACTTGTTTAGCCACAAGTTCTGAGATTTCAGCACACTAGCACCATTACTGTTGAAGTCTTTGCCAGTTATTATACCATTTTATTCTGCTTCCAATCTTGCGATATTATCTTCTACATGAAGGCCATTTTTCTTCTACGGAGGTACTTGGATTACTTTAGCTCAGGAAAAAGCTAACAGATAGAGATGGCAACCTGTAGCACCCACAGCAGAAAAAGAATCATCCATCAGATATCTGAATTTCAGTGACACTCAAGATCTTACATGCTCCACACAATTTAAGATACAGACACTTGTCAGAGACCACAGACTCATGTTTAAGAGAACATTCCACCCCAGTGCAGACAGTATATGAAAACATGTTAATGTCTTAAACACAGGAATCAAAGACAGCACATCAGTACATCACACAGTCAACACTTGAAAGACTAGGAGCTATAAATATTAAAAGGATATAAAAGATGCTGTGTTCAATTTACATGTTATGTAACAACATACTTACCACATCTGCATCAATACGGGCTCCTTTTGGGGAAACCCTCTTTACTACCTGGAAGTACCATTTTTGTTTTCAAATAAACTTCTGTGCAACTGCAGCTTAGGGACCAATGCTGTGTTAACTTTGCATCTTTAGATCTCTATTTACAGCTGCTATTTTCAACAACAGGCAGTAAGGTAAAAAAGGTGGCCATAAAACAAATGCTCTTAACTCTTTGAAGTGCCTCTTAGACAAAGCTACACTCGACCAAATACTCCCTTTAAGAATGTGTTTATCTTTGACAAAGTTATTTCTGAACGAAATAGGGTATGAATAATTGAACTTAAGCAAATTAGTCAAATAAGAGTGTTATGAATCAGTGTGAAAATAATTCCAACAGTGAATATCTCGTTCTTTATGTGGTACCAAAAGACCTGTCCAGGGCACAGAACCAGTCTGCAGCAACGTGGAATCCTCTCACGTTAAGGAAAGGTAGACTTTTGCTGTATACACAGGATAGTAGAAAAATGCAAACTAGAAAGTTTTTGTTAAAAATTACTTTTGTTGAAATATTTCAAGATTTCACTGTTAAAAAGCACAACAGCATTTTCCCTCACCTGAGTAATTGTGAAAGACGAATGCTGTGCCTTGTTACCTGTTGCTACACAAATGCCTGGGGTAAGCAAGCAAGCTTGTCACCTCTGCAACAAGCTGTCTGGTACAACACACTAAGGCTACTGTGACTACTGCTGCAGTTTCAGATTTTGGCTAAGCAAAAACTTTTGTCAATGTTTTTTTAAAAAATATACAGTCATTCAGAGATTTTTCCGTTAAGTAGCTCCTGATTTTATGAAAATCTCTTAAAATTACTTCCAAATTAACTTTTAATTTTACATTACAAAGTCATGAACTGCTTTCTGGAAATTTACAGATGGCAGACAGTCAAGTTGAAATACTTGAACCGGTTTGTGAATATGCCTTGGCCTCTGGTAGACTGAAATGTAGGTTCCACTTGACTATTTTCACAATAACTGAAGTAGAACCAAGATTATTAAAATAGACTTCATAAAAATAATGCACAGGCTCAGAAATGTATCAGAAGTTTAAAAAGATGATGGACTACTATATAAAAGGACCTTTAACTATCAAAGATGCAGAAAAGGAAATGTTCCAAGAGTTAAGAACCAATGTGCATAAAATCCAATTCCATGAGTTTTCACGTGTACAAATGCTGTTGGGGTTTCAGGATATCACGTGCCAGTATTGGCCTCCACTCACATACTGTGCCTGAAAGCACACAAAACCTGAAAGGGAGCTCTCTGATTTGCCCAGGTAATACAACCCCACCTGGTAAGCCAAGCTCCACTCACGAGGAGGGAAGTCCCAGCTCCTGAAGGGTGCAGAATGAGTGCAGCAGGTCACACGCTGCTGAGAATTGAAGAACTGCTTCAGCATTGCCACCTTTCTGGGCTTCTGTGGGGCTCTTTCCATTACACGGCACTGAACGCCTTCCCCCCACCCCCAACCCCAGCACACCCCCTGCAGTAACCAGAGCGCGCATTTCCAAACATTTACAATTTGTATAGTTGATCTGGAACACACAGCAACTTTGTATCTGCCAGGAGCAGAAGATTCTTGGATAGGAAATGGATGACATATACTGGAACACTTGCTCCTTATTACTTATGGCTTTCCTTGATATTAAAAGGCTGGCAAAGGAAAGCCCTAGAAGGAAAGAAGGGTTAAACAGATGTTTTACTATACACTACATATCTTACCCAGTCAGAAACCTTCAATTGAAGAGGATGTGCAAGACATTCCCCATTTTGTCAAGCAGCAGCTTCTCATTCAACCTGAAAATTAAAGACATTACTCTTACCTTGTTTAAAAACCTCCCACTACTCTTTATAATTCATGAAAAATTTTAAAGGCAAACCTTACCTATGCTCATTGCCCTTCCTTTCAGGTCTAAATGCTAGACCTATTGATTTTGAGTCAACTCAAGTAGCTATCACTCAAGGAGGTTCCAAAAGGTGAAGAACTCTTGCTAGACTTTCTTCGATATTTCAGCTGTGATAAGCAGATTAACTAGCCTTGGGGAAGCTGCTCACTATCAGCACAGTATCTTATGCCTTCACTTTTCTGGAAGTTGAAGCTGTTGCTCCTGCTGCCTTGTCATTCTTTTATTAGGCTGACTTCTCCATACTCAATAGGCTGCTGAAGTCCTGTCTTACGAGTCTCCTTAGCAATGTATGGATCAAAGAAGTACATCCTAGGTTCTGAAAAGCTGGTGAATCACTGTCCTCAGGGCTTACACTTTTCCACATCACAAACAACAGCTAAGCTACCCCACCCACCTACAAAGCGGTCACTTACATCCATCTCTTAAAAGGTTGCATACAGATCTTGTTCATAAAGTTTATTATGACACTATTTTTCAAAGTTAACATTGTTGTCACAGTACAGCTACAAGAGGCCCTGTTAAAAAGAACACTGTCAATACATTCTAAAAAAATTTAGAAATACCAGGATCAATTGTCAGAAGGGACATCAACCCCATCCTCCAGTTGTCCCTGCAATCAGTTGCAAGCCCCAGGTGCAAGTCTACACATCTTCTAGAGCATAGTAACGTACAAAGCAAGTTGGTAGGTGTCTCACTCCCTAGTGAGCTGTGGTTTAGTTTCCCATGTTTTCAAACTCCAAATGGGTTGTTTAAAAAATGCCTTTATTGAAGTACAGCCTCCCCTCCCACCCCAAGCCCAAATGAATATGTACAACAGAAGCGTTCACTAAACCATCAATTCTTGCTTTAACTTTTGAAATCTTTGAAAACTCCACAGAAAATAAGCAGCAGACTTTGAAATCCATTTAGGAGGCTACCATCTTGACACTGGTTCCTTGTTTTAGTGTACTGCAGTCTAAATACACTCAAATAACAGTGTTTAAATAACATGTTTAATTTTTTTTTTCAAACAACACACTCATTTTTCTACCACTTTTTAAAAATTATAACTCATTATTAATATGACTGATTATGCCTTGAGTCATTTCATACATCATTCCTATACTGGAATTGCATTTACCTTATACTGCACATTGACCCAGAAGTGAAACAGGTGTGAGTAATTCCAATACATATTGCCAAGTGTCTGAGTATTTCTTTTATTGACTGGGTCCCTACTCTTCTGAGTCTGAATTGACAGCAAGCACTGGCCTGGCAATAGTCAAGAGAATTCACATCAGATGAGGATAGGACAGACTGCAGTGCCTTAATTTGGAGGTTAGAAGTGAGAATGAAGTACCATTTCTAGCCATATGCGCTGGTAACATTTGCTACTCCAGTGCATCGAATCCAGTTGTAGCACACTATCCCTCTACCTGTGGGAACTTGAGACCATGCCATTCTACATTGTGGGAAGTGTTTCTAATTGGAAAAATTCAACTAGATGGTGTTATGTTTTGAAGCTCTCAGCTGAGCGCAGACATCTGCAATGGAAACAGCTTACAAACTATACTACTTCAGAGCCCACGGGGAATGGGCTTTTGGAACGCATTACCTGGGACTGTCAGTGATTACACCTGCGCTACCCTTGGCTCCCAGTCAGAAGAATGTGTCCAGAAAATTGCCTAGGGTGCATGCAAGAAAGTATACAGCCATTAAATTATTGAGGAACATACCTATTACTCTCACTATGACACCTCATTTAATTGAAACAGTGCAGTCTGGTGTAAGGGAGAAGGAAATGGGGATAAAGGAAGGGGATGAAAATTCCAAGCCACCCTCCCCAAAGTATAGTTTTATTGAAACAGATTCATTGTATATCCCAAGGAAACAGGCACTTGATTCCCCCCACCTTAACTTCTCGGGAATTACAATAAATATAAAGGTAAAAAGCAAGTTTCTTTTTCTCTTAACCCAAGATTTAAACAACTTCAGTTATCCCTTATGCATCTCAAATGAGACGGGAGACAGCTTTCACGTGTCTAAAGTTGGTCTTGTTAAAATATTTATCATGCCTTATTTTCTTGAAGCGCTAGTACTAATACAGAACTACAAATTAAAAAAATATGCACAAACCAAAAAGTAATTTTAAATTTTCATTAAGGTAAAGCTTAGTTCTATGATTCACAAACACTAATTTGAGTAACTCAATCCTAGTTATACATCTAAACAAACTATAATGCAACATACAGATTTTTCCCTCTGTATGCCTATGTAAGTCATGTCAATGACAGTTACGTATATACACTGAGACTAGACCCTTTAAGACTGCAAATCAATAGGTGTTTCTATTGTTAACTTTAAATTAATACAAAATTGTAATTGAGAAATGCATTAATCTTCTCTATTAACTAACAAGGAAACACCCTAAACTACATTTTATTTCTGTTATAGTTCTCTGTACTAAATGTGGAAAAACTGAACTACACAAATATTGAAAAGTTAAAAAATCATTGATTTGTTTATTCCTGGTACCACTACCACAATTTACAGGGCAATATACCTGATGTAATGGGAAAATAAAAAGAAAAAAGAAAGACAAAGCTACAACAGAGAAAGACCTCAGGAATGTACATCTAATCGACACTACATAGCATTAATCAATAGCTGCACTTTTTGCAAACTGTGGCTATGACAGTCCTGATCAAGAAGGGTTTCCTGTTTAAGCTGCAGTAACTTTTCTGACTATGGATCATCGTTCCTTCTGTGGCAGATTTTACAGTTCCTCTAATTCATTTGGGACGACTGTCTCAAAGTAACCTGCAGCTTTCCTGACAACTCCTCGCTCTCTCTCCTGCTAAGAACTGTAGCCTGTTGAATACAGGATAAGAAAATTATTACTCTCAGTGAACAGTTGCACATTATTAATCATCATTATAAATATGCATTACACCTACCCTTTTTCTGGTAGCATTTTTAGAATCTTCTACCACCATAGCCCCCGCTTCCACTTCCAGATCCATAACCACCTACAAAAATAGGACGTATATTGAAATACAAGAGTAAAAAGGGGTATTAACTCAAAACCAACATTTTCTCTACAAAATCATGCTTACCACCATAGGGACTGCCTGAACTTCTGCCACCAAAGCTGCCACCACCTTTCATGGGACCATAGTTAGACTGCTGTTGTCCACTGTAATTGCCAAAATCATTGTAGTTTCCACTACCACCATAATTACCTGAAACAAACGCGAATTTACAAAGTCATGTTTGATCAATACTTAGGGCATGAAGCTTGCCAAATTCTGATATTCAGTGTAAAAGTAATAGTTTAAAATTATTTAAAATGAAGTTCAAGCATTTTGCACGCTACCTCTATGCAAAATGTATGAGTAAGAAAAAACCCTTAACACTGGAAAATTTATCTATTTGAGTAGGCAATTTGATGTTTACACAATTTAAGACCCTAAAGTAGGAAAAGCACGAGTTTCACCACCATTCTTCCACTGCCCAACACTCTGCATGTATGACAACGTTAATTACATACTAATTATTTGCTCCAAAAAGTGATAGAAGTGTAACAGGCACGCTGCAAATGTACATCAGAAAGTATAATGAAGTACGTAGCAGCTTTTGCAGCTTGGTTCCCCAAATTTGAGACTTATATTCACAGTCCTTGGAAAGGAGGACATGATCTACATGATGTGAACTGATGTCTGAGGAAAACAGCATATTTAAAATGGTCAACACCTTTAATACTCTACGTCCACACAGAAGAGTTATAGCTGAAACTTTCTGAAAAATACATCCCAGGCAACGTAATGTTATAATGTATCAAAGTTGATCCATACAGAAAAATATTTTTCTTATTTAACATGGCATTTTATGTAAAAATCTACTTGAACAACTCATTTTATATATATTCCACTATCATATTTCAGGCATTGTAAAATGAGACCTGACTAAAAAATATGGATGTCTAATTGAAGTTGGCATCTTACCACCACCAAAATTTCCTCCTTCATTGTAGCCATCATATCCTCCTCCGCCACCTCCATATCCACCACCTGGGTTTCCGTATCCTGGTCCTCCACCACCACCATAACCTCCTCTGCTGCCATAGCCAGGACCACCTCCGTAGTTGCCACCTTTGAATAAAAAAGTCAAACTAAATTCACCAAAGCAAAATACTGGTAAGAAAAGGTCCATTTAACAAAAAACCCCAAACCAACAGCATTGCTCAATAAAAAGCTCCCACAGCATTGTCCCTGTATTGTACTCATTGTGGTTGCAAAATTTATCTAAGCTATTTAATGGAAAAAAGCCCCATGTTTATAAAATCAGGACCCAAGTAATCATATACTACTTCCCTTGTCCCTTTTTGACTTTTGATAATTGCCCTTTTTGGTAATGTACACATCTCTCTTCAGATGCATTCTGGATACTCATCCAAACTTCATCATGAAAAAGATACTACTGAGCCATGAAAAGTCTTTCAGTTGACTGAAAACATTTCTGGTATGATAGCTGGCCATTGCTTTATTCAGTTTTCGTCATCTCAACTGACAGCAGAATCTTCATTCAGTTCTCAATAATCTTTAAAAGCTGTCTCATGACCTCACGATATGAGATTATTTACAGGGTAAACACGACGCAGTATTTTTTTTCCATCATTATTTTGTGGGGAAAACAAAAAACCCACTAATTCTTCACAGGTCTACAATGCAGACATTAAACTTCCATTATCACATTATCAAAAAAGTAGCCTTTGTTTCGAAGGTGAACTCAAGACTTACAGCTCGTTTTATCAGTGCAGGGGAAAAACAAAGTGAACTATTCACTTACCATCACCAAATCCATTGTATCCGTCACCACCCCCAAAGCTTCCTCTGCTCCCACCACCGCCACCACCACCCCCGTAGCCTCCTAGAACACAAAACAGATGAGAATGTTTTCCTGAACACACATGTTAAATGTTTAAGCCAACTGACACAGGAAATAAATAATAATAATAAAAAAGCCACACCAGAGATCACATTGTATATAAATATTCCCATCATTTACCTCTCCCACCAAAGTTTCCTCCTCGGCCAAAGTTCCCTCCACCGCCTCCAAAGTTTCCACGGCCCATGAAGTTGCCGGAGCCACCCCCACGACCTACAAAATATTTCACTTGAATTACATTAATTGAAAACCCGTTACATAAAATAACTATGCACAACTACAACTCACCTCTCTGAGAGCTAGCAGTCTGCATCTCTTGTTTTGAGAGTGCTTTTTTCACTTCACAGTTATGTCCATTTATAGTATGGTATTTCTGAACTACAGAAAATTGTGAAACAGGAAAGTTAGAAAATCGCATCACCATAATATGCTGTAAAACTCTTAAAAGCTACTGTAAAGCATGAGCAGACTTTTAAAAGGAAAATGAAACTGACCCCACTCTTACAACAGTAAAACCGCTGACTATGCATACACTTCATCACACGCTGCTGTTCTGAAGTCTTACGTTAACACTTTTATCCTGTAAAAGTAGTATTCTCACTTAAGAGTTACATACCAACAATTTTATCAACTGTATCATGATCATCGAAAGTTACAAAAGCGAAGCCTCTTTTCTTTCCACTCTGCCTGTCTTCCATGACTTCTATGGTTTCAATCTTGCCATATTTTTCAAAGTACTCCCTTAAATTATATTCCTCTGTATCTTCTTTAATTCCACCAACAAATATTTTCTTTACTGTGAGATGTGCCCCAGGCTTTACAGAATCCTGAAATGCCAAAAATGACATTTAGTGCTTTACATGATTAGGTAAACATTAGGAAAAAAGGTTAACTGAAACACTAACTCACCTCCCTTGAAACCGCTCTCTTTGGTTCAACCACGCGCCCATCAACCTTATGTGGTCGAGCACTCATGGCAGCATCCACCTCCTCCACACAAGAGTAAGTCACAAAGCCAAAGCCTCTGGAACGTTTTGTTTGGGGGTCTCTCATCACCTGCAAGAACACAGGAGGTATCTGCACCTCTGTCCTAGATTAAGTACCTATACCCTTTCAAAACCACCATTATTAGACACTTTACCACACAGTCCGTGAGTGTGCCCCATTTTTCAAAGTGCTCTCTCAAGCTATCATCTGTTGTTTCAAAGCTGAGACCTCCAATGAACAGCTTTCTCAACTGCTCTGGCTCCTTCGGCTCATGGCCCTACAAAATCAAAAATTGAAAACATATTTTGAATACAAATCACAGAATTAAAATTTCACAGAATTACTAAAAAGTATCTGTGCACATTATACCTACAAATAGGTGGAATACATTTACATAAAAACAATGACTTCTAATGGGCATAGACAGCAGCATAGTAAACAATTAATGAGGTATAATTTTAATTAAAACACTAACTAACCAACAACTTAAAAGGAGTGCTCCAATTCAAACAGTAAAACGATTTCAATACACTAAATAATTTGGTTGCTCCCCATCCCTTAAAGTGCATTCATTCTATGCCTATCTTTGGGTTGCAGGTTGCTTTGTAGGGACTAGGGATGAAGCCCTGCTGGATGAAGTTCTAACACTTCATGAAGCATAATCACAAAGAACTATAAAAGAATTAAGCATACAGTATTCAAGAAAAAACGGTTGTTGTTAAAACTGAGTGCCTACTTTTTGGGTATATCCATTTTGAAATTATTTTATTATTTTTTGAAATTATTTACTGTTTTTATGCATTTTGAAAAAATGTATCAGTTTGTAATTCCTTAAAATTTTAAATTTTGTACTTGGATAATTTTCTAATTGGAGTACATGAAAGCAAGAAATTAGAAGTACTTATGTGGGTTTCCGTGTTATGAGAAGTAACTCTCAAATGGGAAGCAACATGGACTTACATCTTACAGATAAAACAATATCTTGAAAAACTTATTAATGACTAATAGGGGGTACAACTACTGAAATTAGATTGGTAACTTAAAAACCATTATAGAACAAATGAGTTTAACTGAAGCTTTTGACAACATTGCCTATATATGACCAGTCCCATTTTAAAATGAAGTTTCAGAGCCCAGTTTCCTACAGAACAATTAAAGTGGGCTTGCAAGTATAATTGCATTTCTGCTTTCAGTGCTGCACTTTTTTAAGTGGGCAGGGAACTTCCCCATACCTTTGACAGGAGTTTATGAAAAATTATTTTAAAACTTTCTCCCGCTGTAAGGGAAGTCTTATCAAAAGGCAACCAGATTAAAATCTTGTTTTGCAATCATGAGCTTTTGTGCATGTGAAATACTCCACACAACAAGGTGCTGGCCAGCTATGCTTCTGTTCTGCAGCATGAATGTGCAACAGGCTTCACTGGTTCTGCTGCAGTGCGCTGAACCAGACTAGATGGAGCATTATTGTGAGAACTGAACTACATAAAATTCAGCCACAGACTTCTACGTGTAGACATCTTGCTTCAAATCTGAGGTGCTTTAACCTCTGCCAAGGTGCTAGGGGTAGCCAAGAAAGCGTACATCCCTTTGAGTGAGTTTTTCTGATTAACACAGTGCTTCTGCAAATTGTTGGTTTATAACATTCAGGTCGTACTACAGGAAACAACACCTTTGATTACAAAAAGCTAACTGAGAAGCAAATCCCTGCCCTCATACCCGTGAGAAACAGCCCCAGCACTCTCAGTTACAGTTTTCTATTTATGGCTTTGTTACTGCAGGAACATTATATAAATGATTAGCAATCACTGATCCTGTGACTACAAAGTCAAACTTCTTTTCTACTGTCTTTTAAGTGGTTTGAACTACAAAAGTTAAAAAAAAAAAAAAATCTCCCTTTTAACTACACGTGGACCTAAAATTTTATAGGGTAACACACTTACTGCATGTAGAAACTGCTTTAGGCCAAGTGTTGTTTTCTGTTGCTGTGGGTTTTTTTTTAATCTACAGACAGTATGTAATTTTTTTCTGCATGTTAAACCTGGGGACACCGAGTGTTTTAAAATCTCTTACATATATTAAAGGAAATTTATTTTGTGAAACAGCAGAGTTTTGACTCCTCCAAAACAAAAAAGGAAAGAAAAAACTAGACAAACTTTTTACAGTTTTCTAACATCCCTCAAGGTTATGATGGTTTTCAGGTAAAAACTCAGACTGCTTTTACTTTAAAAGAATGACCACGTAACTTTTCAGGTCACTCCTCAAAGGAAAAGTGAAGTCCTTCTCAGCTTACCGTTATTATGTGCACATGAACTGCTGTTCTCATACAGGAGGAAAACCACCTGCTTTTACAGTTTCTCTCTTTCATTAGGGAGAAATTATCTTGAGGACACATCTATGTTATAGTAACTCTACACAGAAATAAAATGCAGCATTTTATTAGGGAATTATTTTTTTTCCTGGTAGTTTGTTCTCTCAGTGCTGTTCTCTTATGACAAGGAGGTGTTTTCTCAGTCGTTCTGCTGGAGGATGCTCATAACAGCAGTCTCTCCTGGACAGCAAATGCTGTGCAACACCTCTCTCCCTTCCTCCTTAGCGTGAACTACCCCAATGCTCCAACAAAATCAGCAGGCTGCCTCCTACTCAGCTGACACGGCAGGCCAGCACGCCATTTTGCAGCGCTCCTCTGGTCAGGGACAGGGAATGCAGCTGTAAGAATGCACAGCCTGCCTTTAGCCGGCAAGAAATCTTTGCTTCTCCCTCAACACTGTTTAAGGGGTCTCCAAGCACATTAATAAGCTCTGAGCAGGCAGGAAATTTTCTTTCCTGCCTCGACTATGGTCTTCCTCCCTAAAGCCAAGGCTCTGCGCAGCCCCGACCGCCTCCATTTTGTGAGCGGCCGCATCTCCTCCGCCGTCAATATGGAGCCGGGGGCGGGGCCGCGCCGCCAGTGCCAGCGCCGCAGTGGCGCCATGGGCGGGGCCCGCCGGCCCGGCAGGAGGACACGGACAGGCCGGCGCTGAGGGGACTGCGCGGTCCCCTCTGCTCACCTCCTCCCACCAGCAACGTCGAAACACTGCTTCCTAGCTCCTACTTAAACCCTTAAAGCTCAGCACAATTAACTGTACCTCTCATCAGAGGGGAAGAAAACATGGCAGCTAGAATCCCCTGGGATTCCTGCAAAAAGTCCTAATCTTTGCAGAAATCCTGACATCTTTTGGCAATGCTGCAGATACATACTGTCTCTATCCCGAGGTTGCTAACAACTGAAATTTTCTATGGCAGGAATTTGGAATAATCGACCTTTTGGAGCTGCAGTATTTCTCTCTAAAGGCACAGGCTTCAGGTGGAGCCCTCCCAAGCATTACGCCTTTAAGAGCAGCACCAGGTGTCCACAAAATGCCTGGCACCACACCTACATGCAGCTGTGGCTAAACCTGAGACCACCCTCTCCCCCGGGCAGTACAATCCTAGACTGTCTTCTGAAAGGAGAAAGCTGACAGGCAACTGTGGCCTCAGCATCTTTCTCCGTGAAACAAGGTCTCTACAAACTCTACAGGTTTTAAAGCAATTCCAGGGCAAGCTACTTTTGTGAACTGAAAGAGCTTTTTTAGTATGCAGCTGAGCAACCCCAGATACATTCTATCCAAAGTCCAAATCAGCGAGAGTTTCAATATTCCTTCCAGAAGGACTTTACACACATACCCTACCAATCGCATGCAACTCTAACAAGGTTTGTTCTCAAGTGTGTAGGCCCTCCCACATTGCCGCAGTATGTAATTCCGAAAAAAGTTGGTTTCAACTAGCTATTCAGGCATCCTGAAAAAATGTTAGAAAGCAAGCAAATCCAAATGAACAAACAGAAAGTGCCTCAGTTATTAACTATACAGGCATATTTAACACTCTTTTTGCCGATCTTAAAATTACCTTCTGAATGGTATAAAGAACTTCCCCCCCCCATTTCCACACCCTGCCCCAAAATAACTAGCTCCCATCCTCCCAGAAACAGCCCCAACATCTTCTCTATACTACGCACCTTATTCAGTCTACGGTATTTCTGCTAGAAGCAAAAGAAAACAGTTATTTTTACTTAGTACAGCTCGCTTTCATTTGCAGTGACTATCAGGCAACCATTTTTTCATTAAAAAAAAAAAGAAAAAAAAAACCTGTCTTCATTCCCACTAAAACCAGGACTTTGAAGATATGAAGTAAACAAGTTCCTGCTGATACTCTGAAGATACATGAATTTCTTAATATTATTACACCTTGCTTTAATCAGAAACATACATTTAATCGGTTTTGTCTTAACAGAAAACTAGAAAAGCAGAAGTTCCCCATTATGCTTAACACCCCACCCCTTAAAACTGTAAGCAATAAACTGCAGTTTAAAGTTACTCTGCTAACACGGGGATGAAGAAGGTAGAAAAAAAGCGCCATTTATTAATATATCAGATAGAAACAGGTAAGGGTTTTTTTTCCCCTCAAAACTTCTTTTTTTAAGTAAAGAAAGCAATCCTCTCACCTGTGAGGATCGTCTTCCTTTCCTCTTGTAGTCTTCCACCTCTCTCTCTTCCTTAATAGCAGCCATTTTGGAAGGGTATTTTAACTCAGCCTTTCTTTTTAGATCTAGGAAACCTAGAAAACAGGTTGGATAAGTCAGTACTTACCCCAATTCCTGTGACATAGGGCCTTCTCTGGCTGAAATGCACAGGATCAAACAGGTGAAAGCAGGAAAAAAAAAATCCAAGTATTTAAAAGGGTAAAAATCCTCAGCCTATTTTGCTGATGTTTATAAAGAGCTGCAGAAGGAACATCTGCTGTCCTAGTAAAGCTTGTTTTACAACTGATGGAATACCTAAGTACAATGCTAAAATCTGCAGAAAACCTGTAGGTATTACTGTCTTACATAACTATCATGGATACAACTGATACAGGGCAAGCAAATTCCACCTCTGATACCCAGACCCACTACATAAATCCTATGTCTCTGGATTTTAAACCCCAAAACACTCAACATTTTTCAAATAGTGCTTGTAAGAACTATCTGATGGCACCTTACTGTAATCAGCAACCCAGCAACGTCGAACACTAAAGGATGTGTTGAATGTTTTCTGTACTGAAAAGCATTTTCCACTATCAGCAGTGGAATTTACTGATTCTCCCTGGCAACATCAGGTAATTTCAACATCTGATCCTCAGCTATATGTAGCACTAGACATTTGCATTACCTTTGTTTCCCAATTATGTACTTAATTACTGTACTATATAAAGTTATGTATGTATCATTACAAAAATTACATCTTTTACAAGAGAAGCTCAGTGGATGAACCCATACCTACACATTAAAAAAAAAAGTTCAAGTTATTTGCCTTAGTATTAGTGTATTGGTATCCTGGCCATCATCAGTACTTTGGATGTTTCCTGAAACTTTATTACAGCTGCCAAAATGCAATACCGTACATTTTGTAACATACTTCAGTAAACTATTCTTGTGCTGTGTTAAAATCACAGATATTTACAAGATTAGGTGTGTGTCTATGCGGGTTGTTTGTTTGGGTTGGGGATTTTTAAAAGTTTTCTTCACGCAAACACTGCGTAGGGAAAAGCGGACGGGTCTCTATTAATGACCAATATGTGCTGTTATTCATAGTGGAAATTACTGTTTAATATAATTTCATGTTAAAATAAAGCTTTACATTAAACTCAACTGTGAAATCTTGAGTATGATGATTTAAGGCATTAACAATTTTAAAGGTTTTATTAAGTAACATCCAAGCGTTTGTATTATCTTTAATTCCTTTCTACATAATATTAAACCTTCTCTTGAAATCCTTTAAATCAAATACCACTCTGACTTAGGATATTACGTGCTTTAACTGAGCTGTTCAGTTCTTGAAGTCATACAGAGCAGGTATGAAACAGACCATGAACAGTTCAAAGGCTTTTTATAAACTGACTGTATGGGAAAATAAAACTTTGCAAATAGTTAAGGAGTAAAGGGATAAACTTATTTAAATACTTTTTGTCAGTAATGGAAAGTATGCAATCCCTCTCTAATTTTGTCACCTGCTGCTTCCCCCAGTGAGGCTCAATGCTGGCCAACATAAAGCTCCCGGGCATGGTTTCTTCAGACCATGACGGTCAGAACAGCATTGTCTCCTTGCTAATGCCACACCATCAGCTCAGTTGGAATACAGCTATCATTAAATGCTAGTTAAACTAGCACTGAACAGTTATATACTGCAACTTCACTACAGAACCGAAAGTAGTCTCAGAGCAAACCTGTTAGCTTATAATGAGAAAAAAGTCACTAGGAGATGTCTCACTACTCAAAGGAACTTACAATGCTGTTGTATCTCTTACAGGAGACAAGAAGCTAACAGAGGCAAAACAGACATTCCCAAGATGGAAGATTCCCTGTCCAATCAGAGAATACTATGGAGATGTATCAGTCTTTTCTGTAAACAGCTGAAGTTGGACCTAAAGTGCATATGCTTAGTATACTGTATTAAACCTAAAAGTTAATGCGGGAAAACAATTATTTTCAGCTTTAGGTGTGTCGGTAGTTTATTCTCAATGCCAACAGGAATGTCTACCTGGAAGAAAGCCCACCAAGATAAAAGCTTAATATCTTATGTGATGAATTTTCAAGCTTTACGGAAGCATGTTCAAATGCTCTGAACACACCAACACCTCCAATTAAACCCTGAAGCTGCTAAAACAACTGCTTACATGGAAAAGTTATTTATAGCTGTTTTGCTAAGGGATCCAGTTTCTTCTCTGCTTTTAACGTAGGAACAGAAACTAGTGTCACCTGTTGGTTTCTGATCCTAATTTTATACGATTTCATCTTGCAATGAAGGGAATAAACACCACACAAGAGAATCTGCACTATTTTTCTCATCACACTCTAAAATACTTGGGAAAAAAACCCCTTAGGTTTCGAGGAAAAAAAAGCAAAGGGAGAATATAATGACTATTTCCCTCCAGGTAGGGTAGAGATGATTGTTCCAGTCTGTATTTGATCTCAGCTTCAGTGAAGTTTAGAGTATCTGAACCAAGGTTTGTACAGGGCTACCTCTTCGTGCTGCACACCAAGATCATGGCTGGATGCCACTGAATGTCATATTGTGCACGTGTGGTTGGGGGAGTGAAAAAAGAGAAGAGAGCTCTATACTTTGCTTTCCTCCACCTCTCCGGGCAGCAGAGGTTCGCTACAGATGTTAACTCCCCCTGAGAATGGGTAAGGAATATTAGGGAGGTGTCTCAACGTGTACCAGCATTCCTCTAGGAAAGGCGGCGTACTGCACCAAATGATCTTAATGCTTTAAAAGCCTGTTCCGAGGAAAATGCGTGTGGAAAGCGCACTACTCCGAGTAACTTACGTGGGGGGAGGGGGGAGAGAGAACGCAGGGAGGGCAGAACAATGGCACAGGCACGCGTGGGGCTCGCCTCTCCCTACTCCTGCCCGAATCTGCGCCCAGGTGTTTCGGTGTGCCCAGGACTGCTGCGGAGGGCTCTGCTGCCCACAGTCCTGCCCTGGGCCGAGGGCCGGCCAGCTCTCGCCCACGCGCCGGAGCGCTGCAAAATGGCGGCGGCAGCAGCGCGCGGGGACGCGCGGCGGAAGCGCCGCTCTCCTGCTCCCTCCCTCTTCCTGTCCCCGCCATTGCAGAATAACGCGCCGCCTCGTAGGGGAAAGGGGGTCTGGAGCGCGCCACGAACGCTACAAGGAGGAGGCAGCCGCGAAACGGCGAAGGGCTCCGTGACGTGCCCCCCACCCTCCTGCCCGCCTGCGCCCGGGGGCTGGGGCAGAGATCGAGCTGCTCCAGCTTAGCTCGACGAGTCGCGTCGCCTAGCCCGGTCTAAGCTAACCTAGCCTAGCCTAGCCTGGCCTTCCCTTCGAACCCCGCCTCGGCCGAGCCTGGCGAGGCCCGCTCCCCGTTACCTCCATTTTGTGCCCGGGATCGCCTCGCGCCGCACCAATATGGAGCCGGGCGGGAAGGGGAGGAGGGCGCGGGGGCGTCACGTGGCGGGAAGGCGGGCTCGGGCGGCGCGCGCGCGCGCTCCGGCCGTTACCGCTTTTCTTCTCAGGGCCCGCCGCCCCTCTACCCCCCCCCCGCCCGCGCGCCCCGCCGGGAGGGGGCGGAAAGGGCCGGGAGGGAAGGAATATGGGGAGAAGGAAGATGGGGAGAGGGGTCAAGAAGCGCGAAAAGATAAGATATCACCGTGCCGGGCGTTCAGCGAAAGCGCCTTCTCGCTCCCGTCGGTCCCACGCCGGCCCCGCGCACGAACCTCCGCCCGCCTGCTGTGGGGGTGGCGGCGCCGGCGCAGCCGCGACTGGCGCGCGGGACGGCCTCGCCCCCCGGACGTGGCCCCGCCCCGCGGGCGGTGCGGCGCGCGTAGGGCGGTGTCCGCGCGCCTCAGGGCTCGGCGGGGAGGGGCGGCGAGGGGGGATCGAGAGCTTTGTGAAAAAGAGAAGGAAGGAGGCGATGCGGGGTTCGCAGGGCGCTTTTGCAGGAGTATCAGGATGTGCGTGAGGCGCCCAGGACCTTCCAGAAGTTGCTTCTCTCCACGTATTGTTTTTTTCCTGGAGATGCTACAAGGACGCAGCTAAAGATTGGCTCTGCAGAGCCTGTTCGGCGCTCACCCTTTAAACTGGTGTTCCGGATGAATACCGAAACAAATCGAAGCAATAAGTTTCACGAACTTTCCCATGCAGACACATTGCCTATCTCTTTTAATGGCGTTTTTCATCATAAACTAGCATAGAGAGCTCAAAAGAGGGTATTCTGCAAGAATTTTTTGTAGAATAAAGCACAGTTAAGCACATACATTAAATTTTTTTTCTTATCTGAAAGATGATGTCAGGAGAAGCAGCATTATAAAAACCTACCATTAAAGTCAACGTTTCTTTAGCCTTAGTTATCTCTATCCTCTCACAGTATTAGTAACTTATTTTAGTATGATGACCTAACCTAAGCAGCAGGAGTTGGCACTTAGCCATTTTAAAAATATCTTTATGCTATGTAAAGGAGTACACCAGTTGATATGGTTTTACTGAATCATTGGAAGTTTAGTATTAGCTGCTAATTTAATTTCTTTATTTTACCCTGCAGTTTCTAAAAAAAAAACCACCAAAACAAACCCCAATCCCCAAAAAAACCCGAGTTTCAGACTGGCATCTTTTATTTATGCAAAGGTTTAAAAACCTATTTGATTCACTATGGGGAATTTTCCTAATACATAGAGAAATTGCCAGCAGGTCTGGAAATGTTCTCACTCCTATTGTGCACAGAAGTTGAAACAAGTTTTTAGATCATTCCTGCATCTCTGTGAGAAGGTAGATGCCTTTATAGAAAATAAAACTCACTGAAAATTTCAGCAGTCTCCAGATATTCTTTGCACTGAGGTCAAACCCCAAAATTTCTCATCTTTCTTCTCTTAATCAAGTAAACCATCCAATTTCATTTTTTATTTACAATAAAATTCTTCATATATGGTGTTTATTCTCTTGCCCATTACCCACAGGGTGAAAGTATCGAGACAGACCATGGTACTGGCTAAATACATATCTTAGTTTCAAAGGTTCCTGTAGTTTACATGGGAGCTGCCTCCGTGATTTGGAAGAATTCCATGCCTTTATTAGTTTGATTGTCATTCATTTCACATTTAACTGTTACTCATGAAGGCTGATTGTCTTGCAGTTTCATTTGGTTGCACAGCCATAGGCAGATCACATTTGAATTCTACAGTTTCAGTTCACGATCATCCTCCTCTATCTGCAATCAACTGTACAGAATGTAATAGTTTTATAATACCATACTCACTGCGCTGTCATAAAAGACAAACCAGTTAATGAAGGAGATGCACATTTTATAAAGATTCACAGTTGCAAGTGAAAATTATCCACAAGTTTGGGGGCTTAGATAAAAAAAAATAAATTTTGATTTCAGGCAAACAATTTTCTGCTACTGAAGTGTTTTCAGGTTGGTTATCAGGTTACCTAGTAGAATTACTTACCATTTTGGGTCACCCATTTCCATAAGTAAAAATTTAGCATTAAAACACCTGTATCTATTCTTGCTGATGTAGTGTCAGAGTCAGATGAAGTTTCACATTATCTAACAGATGTGGTATTGGTCATCTATACGCATGGCTTACATGCTTTTCTTTTTACTGGCAGTGTTTGCAAACATACACTCTCCTCTTTGTAAGCCAAGGAAACAGCAGTATGTATCTAGTTCAAGTAAAACAACCCCCCAAAAAAAACAGCGGGAAGGCTTTTTAATTTTATATATTTCTGTGGCTGAAACGTCAGTTTCTCTTCATTGCCCTTTTTTGTTGTGGGTTTGCTGGATGTTTTTATTGCTCGATTCTTATACAGCATTTGTTGTGAAGTGAATCCTTGCATAGGTAAATATTGTTGGTGAAATTGTTCAAAATGTATTTTAGTGTTACATGGAGTTTAAGATTTGAATATGAAATTGCTCTTGAACTCTAGTCTCTAGAATAGTAATGTTAATGAAGCCAATTCCCTGAACTAAATATGTTTTCTATAAACCTCTGGGATTACAGAAAAAATGGACTCATTATTAATTAAATGTTAGTATCATCGTGATAGTTTTGCAAATGTAGTTGATTTAGATTTATTTAAGTTTCATAGTTTAAGAAGGATGCAAACTACAATTTTGATAAGAAGGCCTGAGTGCTATATAGCAAAGCATTTGCATGAGCTTCAGGACGAAAGTTTGTTTAACATTTTTTCTGGGTTATAGAAATACGGTATATTTAAACATAGGCAAATGTTACTGCAGACACTTGACTGCAGTGCAAGCTTCCTTGCACAATAAGACAACCAGACTGCAGCTTCTGCTATCTTCTTCATTTGGAAACAATTGTTCATGTCTCTGAATTTGATTTAAATTGCTGAACTTTGCTGGAAAAAAGACAGGTTAATATATTAGTGTAAGGTTTTGTAAAATTTTTGCAATTCTTGTATGCAGTGTAGGGTGCATGGAAACCTTTGACTTCATAATTAAAAAATACATAGAGCCAATAAACTGATTATTTTTAGTACAATTATGCTATGCTATTTGCTCTATTTCAGTAATTGTTAATAATACTCTTTACATATAGGCACAGAAATATATAAATATATACACAGACATATGAATATGAAATTGCTCTTCTACATATGTGTGTATACATACATATATTTGTATACACACACACACTCCAGAAACAACAAATCCTAAAGGCCCTTTCCACTATTGCCAATCAAATATCTTGTGCCCCAGAACTCTGGCAGTCTCTGCAGGATTTAGTTGCAGTGATTTGAGAAAGCTTTCTGTCTGTTTTTTTCCCCCATGGAAGTTACTCAGTGCATGCAAACACATCAGCTGCTTCAATGTGCACTCTCCTATTTTAATTTTAATAATTGATAAGGGATGTTTGAAGTAATATGTCAGTCTATGAGCTAGTTTGAAGAGAAAACACACATACTTATCTACCAGCCTAGTACAGCTTTAGTAATCTCCCACAAATAATTTGGAAATAGCACCAAACTCTTGTGACTCCATCTGTCAGAGACCTGAGATCAATTTGTATGACTTCTGTTCCTCAAGAGCTACGTCTGAGAGCTGTGATCCAGAAAATGAGAGAGATCAAACAATTTTGAGCATCTCAATTAAAAATACTTTAAAAATTCTTTCTACAAAGAATTAATCTCTATATGTTTATTTTTTTACAATATTTTGCATTTTTACCAGACATGTAATATGGAAAATAATCCTGCATTTTGGATTTTTATAAATATGAATAGTTTCCTAAATACTTCTTTTTCCCTTTTGTTCTGCTCTTCTTTGTATGCTTATTAAATCTGAACCTGTTAGACTCTATTTTACTCCATAATCTGCTTTGTCTATGTTGTATCTGATTTTTTTTATTTATTTATTTTATTTTCTTGAACCCTTCTGACAAAAATGAAAGGAAGAAGTGTGCATTAGCAATGATAGTAGGACTAACCAAACAATAAAGCCACTAGCAGTGAAGGAAAAATAGCTTGCTGAGATGCCATTATAATACAGCTGGCTCTGTAACTTTGTGCCCAAGATTTTCACATTTATTGTCTATCGTCTTAGGATGGGGGAATTCTCTTACTAGCAGAATTATGCCCTGGACAAAGTGTAAAAGTGTCATGTTTAAGTGTCAATAGTCATATTTAAGGAGCTTACTTCAGATAAAGAATCCTAAACCTAACATTCTATGCTGTGTGATTTAAAAAAGGCTCTACAGTAAATTTGGGTAATTTTTTTCTTAAAAGCAATATTCTTTGTTTATGCTAGAAGTTTTTTTGTTAGCAAAAAACATTTTCTTTAAATAGATCAAACAGAAAGGAGTTTATGTATTGCTGGGGGGAGGGAAAGAATGGGATTTACAGACGAAAACTGGAGGCAAAATGAAGTTTAATATGTAACATCTGAGATGCCAGTGCATGACGAGTCAGCTGTTCTAAAATTTGCGTAACATGTAGAAGAAAGAAGAAAAATGGAGGATCTAGCAGGTAATATCTCCTGTTTTGAAAATCAAAATTGTAAAAGATAATATGTAGTTATGCTTGATTGTGGTGTTCATTCTTTGTTACTAAGGTTTGTAAAACACTAATTAGAGATAATTGTACAACTAACTAAACAGTATGTATTATTTGATACGTTTTATGAAGGCGAGGAGGTGGATTTCCTGCTTGCGTACGTATCTGTGCAAGAGAGTAGAGCAGAGGAAATAAATCTTGTTCTTCCCTTGACTGCAATGCAGATCTGGCTCTGGGAGGGGTTTTCGTACCCGCACGGCTCGGACACATGGTCTGTGCTCAGCCAATCGCTCGCTGCACATCTGGCACTGCGTTTGTGTGGCTCGGAATGGCTCTCCGACTGCTAAACAAGAAAATTCTCGGGCTTTTTTTTTTTTTTTTTTTCCTTTTTTTTTTTTTTTTTTTTTTTTTTTTTTTTTAATTGAATTTGCGCACGTTCTTCGGATTGTGATTTATAT